CGGGTGCGCTGGACCGGGCCGGTTTGGGGAGGGGGGTGGCCGTGTGCCACTTGCCGCGTTAACGTTGGAGATTGCTGCCAGAATAACCTGCTTCTGCGGTTAAAATTTGTAGAAAGTGGGAAAAAATGTGTTTTTGGGGGTTGTGGTAGCATTTCCAGTAGTGCAGCGGGGAAGCTCCATAGGTTGTGCTATAGATGCTGTGTGTTCATGTTCATTAATGATCACGTTGATGTCTGCAGTGCTGCCCAAAAGTCCCCTTGGGCAGTGGAAAATCTTGGGCTGCACTTGGGACACGGTTCGTTCAGCCAATAGCACAAGCGTTAGTGCCTGGCCAAGGGTCCCACTGAATCTGTCATGTTTCGGTTGCAGACTTTTTTTTTTTTTTTTTTTTTGAGCAACATATGGCAACCAAGGTGTGACGATGGCAGACGAGGTGTCCGGCGTCTCCGAGGAGGCCCTGGTGCCTTCATCACCAGGCTCAGCCCTTCAGTGCTCGAGTGACACAGATAAGCTCAGCAGGTCCCACCCCTGGGCCAGAAAGAGGAGGAAAAGTCAGTTTTCAGACCTGTGCCGGAGTCAGACATCTCTGTCCGGTGAGTGGGTGTTGATAGATTCACATGCGGTCAACGAAGAGGGTGATGATTATTCCTTCAGATGGTTTCAGATCTTTCTCCCTCCTTTCTCTCCCTCAAAGCTAGAGATGATAGCAATAAGAAGCTGTCAGGGGATGTTTTGGGGGAACAGATTGCTGTTTGCTTGCTCTGTACCAGTACCTGTTCCTGGGCAGCATTTGCTGGCTGCTGGAACAGGCACTTCTGATCTTGCTGGATACCCGGTGTTCTAAATATTATCTTCTAAAACATGAAAAACTGCCAAATGGGGAGGAAGATGACAAACACGTCCAGAAACAGATGTCTCCATTTTATTGTGGTCAGCGTATCCGTATGGAACACAGGGCATAAATGCAGAGATATCCTTGTGATGCCAAGGTCATCATGGCTCTTCCAGCACGACTTGTTCTTTCGGGCATGGAGTGGTGGTATTTGGCTGCCAGTGCTGAATGCAGGAACATTTCCTGCAGGCAGAACTTCTGAAAAATTTAGTATAATCCCATGGCACTGCGTGACATAAAACATTGGTGTGGGCACAGGTATTTCGGTGTCAGCTCTTGGGAACAGTTAATTAAGCAGCTTCTGACTAACTCGGTATTTAAGTATAGGGCTTGAACACGCAACTTTAACTTGACAGAATTCAAAACCTGTCCTTTAAACTCTCTTGTCTTCAGTGAAAGGAAAATTGACTAGTCTGGTTAATGTGATGCATGTTGGTAATATTTTCTAGCCCACGAACAGTATTAAATTGTTTCAGTGCCCGTGACTTAAAAAGACATATTTATTAGAATCATTTCTGTTCTCTTTAGTTTAATTGATTTTGGTTTTTTTTTCGGCCATTTCTAGCAGCATATATTTTGAGATGAAGTTACCTGTTGGCTGTTTCTGACATTTTTCTTTTAATTCATGCCTGTAAATACTCTTCTAGTAGAGTGCCACAGCAACACAGTTGACCTGTATCTTCTCACAGGAGACAAATGGAGCTCCTACTGCTTGTCCTCACTGGCGGCTCATAACATTTGTACCAGCAAAATCTCTAATTCCTGGGCTCCGTGGGATTCGGCCTCTCTCTCCAGCTCCCTTTGCAGTCCTGCCTCCGTTTCCTTTCTGCATCCCCTTGCCACGGAGGAATCCAGCCAACACCTCGTATCTGCTGCGCGCAGTCCCGGCAAAGCCATCTTCACCGTGGATGTCAACACCACAGAGGTACTGGCTGTACCTGTAACTAGCTGTTGCAGTGCCACATGCAGGGAAGGAAAGAGAAGCATAAAACGTTTGGAGCCATGTGACAAGGAAGCACCTTCACTGGGATGGGCATATGACGGCACAAGGTCTCTGTCTGTCCCAGTAGATATGTATTTTACACTGGGAGAGAGAGAGAATTTCTCAGGTTTTGTCCTGAGAGTAAACATTAGTATAAAATTAAATACTGAGAAGAGGGTAGGCAAATAGAAAGCAGAAAGCTTAAAAGCTACCAATGTCTCAAACTCCCTTAACAAAGGAGGGGCTTGGCCAAGGTTTTTCCTAGAACAAGAAGTTTTAGTGAGACTTCAGAATAAAAAACAATCTCTCCATTTCCACTGAGAGAGGAAGTGACGTTATGAGACGTTAAAACAACAGCATGATGGTCTATTAAAGAAACTTGCAGCTTTTGTGTTTTTTGGTTTGTTCTTTTTCCTTTTTACTTTTGCAGATTCTTGTGGCCAATGACGAAGCCTGCAAACTGCTTGGATGCAGCAGTCAGGAACTCATTGGTCAGAAACTGTCCCACCTGATATCGAAATCCAGTCAAGACATAGTGGAAGCTCTGGGTGAGGAGTACATAGAAGCTGATGGATGTAAATCGGTGATTTCAGGAACTGTGGTACGTGAAATGTTCCAACAAATATTCCTCACCATACACACATTTTTTGGTCTGAGTTAATTTAGGTTTTTTTTTTTTCACTTTATTTTTGACGCTTTCAATACTATTTCCTGAGACAGGTAGCTTAATGGGCAATTAAGTAATTTGTAAGACTTTTGACACATGTGGATAGGAGATCTCAACAGGTAAGAAATGGTTGTGAAGGCACCCACAAGATCCTTCCAGCTGTCAAACACGTATAGGCATGATGATGTGATCAAATGAATGCTTCAAAGACACTAGATTTAAAAAAACAACCAAACAAAAATGTCATACATTGTTTAGCATAGAAAAAACTTATTGCTAAAAGTTTCCATTTGTCTGGGTCTTTTGGAATATCCTTAAAATTAAATTGCATGGTACATGTTTGGAAGTTAGATATCAGTCAAATACTGTGAAATGACTGTGACAAAATGTCTTAGACACAGAAGAGCAGAATTGATGTTTTGCCTATGTGGAGGTTATTTATAAGAGAGCTGTGTGAGAAACATCTAAAATTATTTTCTTTTGCTGTTTTTGGGCTACTAGAAAATACTTGGAAAATGACTTTTCTTCCCATCACATGATTTTTGTACTCAAATTCTCAGCATCTCAAAGCTGGAGCTTCCTGAGCCTTCAGTTGGGTTTGGGAATAAAAATCCAAGCTTGAGTAAGTGAATCCAGAATACAAATGAAATGGCTGATGAAAGCACAGCCTCCAAGCTACAGCAGCTCCAAATATTTTATAGGATCTCACAGAGTCACTGTGTGATTCATAAACCCATTCTGTCAAAATCCCACAAAAGTGATAAAAGGCTTGATGTGAGCACTGCAGGTTATAAGTAAACATCTGATTTGTGAAGAATCTTCTCCCACAGGAAATTAAACTGCTGTTTTTTTCAGCTGAAAATAGGAACTACCTTCTTAATGTGCAGTATTCACTAGCATCATTGGATATACTCAAGGATTTAGTTGTTTTGAACATTATATGTTACTGAAAAGATAAGGTGGGCGATTATTCTCACTGAATGTAAAGTATTAGATTAACATGTTTATTGTGCTGAAAGAATTGCCTTGAGGTGAGAGGCAGCAAAAGCAACAAAACGTTGTGTATGATCAGTGAACTATCTGCCAACATTGTCATTTCTATATTAAAGCTATGTTTCTTCCAAATTAAAAAAAATATATATAGCAAATATGTAGCAAATAGCCAAGACATAATGTTTTGCTAATAACGAGGGAGAGATTTGGGGCCAATTTCTTATTCTTCTTTGGAACCCACCCGTGTTTCCTGTGGGAAGGTGGACATTCTAGGCCGTTCCAAAGAGAAGATCCCAGTCTCTGTGTGGCTGAGGCGAATGAGGAGCGAGGACAAGCAGTGCTGTGTGGTTGTGCTGGAACCAGTGGAAAGGCTCTCAGCTTCTGTTTCCTTCAGGGCTGACGTGAGTATTTTTCTAGTCATTGAATGACAGCAGTTCGTGACAGTTTGTGCAAATTAGATGCATCTAATTTCCATAGGCACATCATTATTTATGAGTATTAAAATAATACTGCCTCAAATTGGGATCATGTGCAAATTGCCCCCATACTGCCCACCTTGATATTCAGCTAGTCACATTAAAATACACTGTCCCTCAAGGGACATCTTAGGCTGCAACACTGAGAGTTTGGCAGGGGGTTATTTAAGGCAGGGTGGCTCTTCTTGTGAAGGGAAGCAGTTTGCTAAGGAAAAAATTTGTGAGGAATCTTAGACTCCTCTTCTTCTCCTCTATGACCGGGGTGGGTTCTGTGCATGATCTTGTCAGAGCAGCATTGCGTTATACCGTGTTTGCTTTTACTGAGTCACCTGTTTAGTTCTGCTGTCCCTTTGTGGTTGTCCCCTGCCATTTGGGCAGATCCTCACAGAAACTGTTGTTAGAGGATTGGCTGGATTATGTCTGAACTGCTAAAATTAAAATAGTCCTGTAAATTCTCTTCCCAAGGGCGAGATTACATCATGTGACCTTCCTTTTGCCTATCTCCATGGTTACCCATCGTTGGAAGAAGTAATTGGGCTCAACCTAAAGGACTTGATTCCTTCTGTACAGATCCCCACTCTGGGCAAGAGTATCCCAAAGGTACAGTATAAAACTGCAGGCAAGCTTTTCCATATGCTTCCTGCCTGGGCCATAGGTACACATTGTTTTCCCTCCTTATTCATCAAGAGAAAACCTTTTCAGAGAGAAGCACAACTGTCCTCAAAAAAAAAAAAACTGTGCTGCTTATTTAGTTGGCTGCTGTCTGGAGGTTTTCTAAGGATGAGCCCAAGCCCTGACCCCTGTCTTTGGGAACTGCCCTCGTGACAGGTGCTTTTTCTCATCCATGAGAAGCCCGGCCTCTTTTGGGAACCCCCTGTCTCTGTCAGCACCCTCATGCTGCTTTGAATTCTTCGGCTGGTTGCAATGATGTTTGAAAGGCTGAAAGCTTAAAAAACAACATTTTGCAAATGGCACTGGAGTGTGGGGAGAAAGACCAATAGGTCTAGGTTAAGTTTGCCTAAAATGCCTCGTTTGCCTAAAAGTTGCAGCATGGACCTGCCCTGTCTTCAAAACTGGGTTATAAATCCTTCAAAAAAAACCTTTGCTTTTGACATTTGATACTCACAGCATTTGTTCACTTTCTCTTTGCCTCCTTCTTCTCTTTGTCCTTTTTCCTGAGAACTTTCCTGGGAAACTTTATATGAATACTAAAATAAAAATCATGTGGTTGTTCAGGCCTTTTGTTTGTTTGTTTGTCTGCTTGTATTTAGAACCTCGGGATCCAGAGATCTGTAGGTCGAACCAGAGAGGGGAACACCTTTCCTCTCAGCATAAAGCTGCACGTTAGCCTTCCAGAAGAGGACAAAGCTGCTGTGCAGAAAGACAATGTTTCATGGACAGATAAAGAAGGCTCCTTCACAGACTGTCATTATTCTGCCACAGTCAGGGTTTTTTCCACCATCAGTGGCATTATTACTCTCCAGCCAGATGGAACCATCCATGGCATCCAGAACAGTTTTTCTCTAATGCTGTTTGGCTATGAGAAGGAAGAGCTGTTGGGAAAGGTAAGGTAGGAATTGTCGTCTCCCTAACATGACTGTGTGTCAGGCAGCACATCCCTGGGAGGTGCAAAGTCTCCTTTGCTACTCAATTCTTTCTGTCACAACAGTCCATATTCCACTTGTTCGGTGAGTGAGTTGTAAGATAATACACAAATTCTCTGGTTGCAATTGCTGGAATCTTTTTTTTTTTTCTTTTTTTTTTTTCCTGGATATGGGCTGGAATGAGCTTCCAACAGCTCAAGGGATGCTGCACACTTGTGTATTCTCCACCTGTTGCCTGACTTTCCATGAGCACCATGGCCACCAATATGGGTTGTTAGCAATTGCCCCCAACATGTGACAGTCCATTTACCTTCAAAGGTTTCATTTTGTTCTGTTTTAGAACATTACGTTCCTGATTCCTGGTTTCTATAAGAGCATGGACAGATGCAGGGACTGCTCCTTGCCGCTACCTCCCCTTGAGGACTCGATGGGGACAGAAAGCGCAGGTGTCTCCGGAGGTGTCACTGCCTGCAGTGGCTCTAACAAAGGTAAAATGAGCCCAAGAAGAGGAATTTACCTCGGAATATGGAAATGTGCTTTGTAAAAGCAGTTTATGTCTAAGCAGTTTTCTTCTTCGCCTAGAAATGCACAGCTGCTTTGTAAACAATGCACAGTTGCTACTAAAACAAGGAAGAGTTAGTAGACAGTGTGAAAATTCTTAAATACTTCTTTAGCGAACGATAGCTCTGTAATCCAGAGGTAATTCATCTCCAGGGAGGAAACATTGGCACTCAGACTTCAGAAACTAGAATATTTTTCTGTGACTCTAACAATTCTTGCTTTACGACGTCTTAGTTTTTGTGTGTTTTGGCCTTTTATGCTGCTGCTAGCTATATGATAGCTTAATTTCCAGTCTCTGTATAGCCACGAGCCTCTCTCAGCTCCCTGAACTTCAATCCAAGCATCTAACCCAGGAGGCCAATACCTCTCCAATAACTTAAATAAACATTATCTATGCATAAACAAGGTTTTGTTTCTTGTTTGGTACAGGAATTGATCATTTGGCTTCATCTTCAACAAGCCTTCTGTCAAGAGACGAAGCGCAGAAATTAGGACAAAGATACAGAGAAGACAGGATAATAAATACTGGGAGCATGAGAAAGAGTGGGAGTTTCTTACCTGCTCCTCCCTCTCCTGAAGTCTCATCCACAACTGCTAGGAGGTAAATACGTTAATATACCTTGGTAAAAGTAAGGTAAAATATAAAATAGAAGGTAAAATAATATTTTACCATGGTAAGATACCTTGTGCAGTGGTTTCCACTGAACTGTGTTTGATCTGATGGCTGAAAACTCAACAGGAATCTTCTCAGGCCTAGAGGTGACCTGCCACATGCAGTGACTTTTGGTTGTGGTAAATGACCTGTGAAATATATTTAGAAATGGAGCTAGAAAAGGAAGTAATCCATAGGGAAGGAGTGCCACTGGAGTGCTAAAGCTGGAATTTGGTGTTTTCTGATGCCTGTACCAAGTGCTTTCTGTTTTTTTTTTAAGTCTAAAAAGAAGAGATTTGATGCAGGTTTTACATAGTCAATGTAGGATCTGTAGAGTGGGTGCCATACAGATGACTCTTTTCTCATTCTTTTGTCATACAATGTAATATAAAGAATATAATATAAAGAATAACTGTGAACTCCTCCTTCAGCAAACGTTTCCCGATTGTTCCCATTTTCCTGTGTGTTCTAGGCTAGAAGATGTGTCTGATGCTCCATCCGATAGCTTGGCCAAGCCTTCTGCTGTGACTGGTACTTCATCCGGAACGCCAACGGTTGATGAACCGTGGTCTGGGGCAGCATCTCGCTGCGTGCGAGACTTCCAGAGGTACAGGATTAAACAGCAGCCTTCAAAAATCAACCTGACGTGTACCCTGGGAGCTGAAACAACCCTTGAGGACCTTAAAGAGTCAGACACTGAGCTGAGCTGCCTTTGTTCTGGCCTTGAGGATCTGGATCTGAATGTTGGTGTAGAGGGGAACTCGGCCGGCTCTTCAGGCACTGCTACAGCTCCTGTAGGAGCGTCCTCTAATGCAGCCGACTGTGCTGTGGGCGAAACACTAGTTCCAGACAGTGCTTTTTCTGGGCAGAAAAAGCAAACTGTGCAGGCGCAAGTAACATCTACACCCGTGAAACAAAAAGGAAGGCTGAATCCTTTGAGCTCGGAGATACTGGAAGGCATCTACCTCGGGAGCTGCTATCACAGAGATGGTTCTCGGCTGAGTAAGTTGAACCTGTTTTTCCTCTTTCAAAACCTCTCAGCAGGCCACTTTTTCACCCACGCTTTTGCAGAAGGCAGGCAGCTCTGGTCCCCAAACCCCAAACAACATGGAAGCTCTGTGCTCTCATTCAGCAATAAAGTTTCATTCCACCCTTTTAACTCGCTCCCCTGTTTCCACAGCGATACTTTTTGAAGTGAAGCACGTAGAACTGCAGGACCCTGCTGCACTCTTTTGCATCTGGGTGGTCAAAGACTTTATACCCAACCAGCAAGAAGCAACACCAAAGACTCAGCTCTGCTTCTCCAGCCTAGTGAGCTCCATCCAATCTGTTACAGATTTTTCTGCACACAGTCTCGCAGAAGTAAGAAAGTTTATTTACTCTGTTTTATAACGTTGAACACTTTTGCTTGGATGTCAAGCTGAACCAAAGTTGATGAATTTTTCCTTGCTGTAATAATGGCTTGGCCTGGTGGGGAATATTGCTGTTTCCTTATTTCCCTGTTGGTGTATCAAAATAAATGCGTGTTTGGGGGTTGCCATGGAAAGGACAAATTATTATTCTGCAACACACTGAACTACACGGTTCAGTGTAGTTACCTTCCCAGTCTGAACAATGAAAAGCTCCTAATTTTCAATCTGTTCTTAGGCAGGTTTAAGTTCCTTTACAATAGAGATTTGCCCTAGTGTAATGAGATTAATTTTAAAATCAATGTAATTGCGTTGAAACAAGTAATGTAACATTATTAAAAAAAAGAAATACTAGGATGAAAAAAAACTCACAGCAAGTTAGGTCAACAAAAAAGGCCATTTTTAGCTGCCTACTGGGGTGCTTCCTTCAACTTGGTGTACAGAAAACTGAATGTGTAACTCCTTGGGCCTGGTTTTTGATTAATAGCGGATGGAAAATAGACAGTACTTTCACCAGAGCTGTAGACAGAAAACAGTTCAGTTCTTTGATGAACTGAAATGGGTAAATGAAATCTTTTAGATTCCGTGAATATGCATGCCCTAAAATCTTTAGGTGGCTGGATTTTACATGACTTCATAGTGGATTTTATTAAGGTGTCCCTTAAACTTGTTTCTTCTCTCTGTCCCCTAAGAGAGACTGAAAGAAATAAAATGCTCTTGTACCAGAGAGCTCTGTAAACATTGGAAGTTAAATATCTTTTATACACTTAAGTGATTTTAGGTTGGTGCAACAAGTAGAAATCACCAAATTTATTGCGCGGGCTTAAAGTACCTTTTTAGTTCTCTTAATTTAACTTGGAAAAAGGACAGCATCAAAAGTAACCTGCCTTTTTATTCATCTAATAAAATGTTCCATTATTTTATTTTTCTGTTTGTCTGGAGAATTTTAGCTAGTGGCTAAAAATGCACATTCTTCAGTTTTCGTTTTTCCTGAATTTAGCAGCACTGGGAGCTGTTAAAATGGAGTTGTTGAATTCAACACCTGTTACTTCAGTATTGGTTCCCTCAATATACAGATCTTGCTGTCAGTCTTGCAGATAGGTGTTTTCTTTTCAGGCTTTATGTCAATTTACAAACATTCTTCTGGTTTTGCTCATTTTCCTTTTGCTTGTTTTTCTTACCTATACCTAGAGGATCAGATCAACTTCACTTTTAGATAACTCCCGAGTTGCTGAAGAGCTTGAACGGTTACAGGCTTGTGAAGGAGAATATGCAAGAAAATATGACACACTCAGTCCCATCGGCAAAGGATCTTTTGGCTTTGTCTGGACTGCCAGGTGCAAGGAAGATCAACAAGAGGTTAAATATTTCTATTCTATCTGTCATTGTAATGATTATTTAGGATTGAATTTGAAAAGTGAAAAGTTAGAGCATTTATATAGTGTAAAAACTAAGCTATTAAAGCCTGTCATTTCCTAGTTTGGGGTTTTATCTGTTTAGAATGTGAATCTGAAATCTCTAAGCTTTGAAAACAGGACAGTGAAATGCTCACATTGATGAGCATTTCACAGTGTGAGCTGTTATCTAAAGCAACAGGTGCGGAATGAGGCTGGCCATGCAGCTAATTTAACATGCTCAAAGAAGTATATTTTGAGCTTAAACAGAATTACACATTTTAATCTTTATTTGCTAAAGAGAAGGACAAACTCCAAAGTCCTTTTTTGTGCCAAGACTTAAGGATGTGGTTACTTTACAGGGAAATAATCACACTGAGGTTATGAGACTCAAAATACTCCTTTATCAGCAGAAGTATTGTGGGTATTGAGAGGCAAAATCTCTTTTTCTATGTACGAAGGTTTAACTGCTCATTTCTCTCACTGTAAACCCCTTCCAGAAGTTATTACTGCCATAATTGAGTTTATGAAAGAGAGCTTGCTTGTCAAAGTCCTTGGAATTCAGAGCATCAATAAAAATAAAACGAATGATGGATATTTGCCATCTGTGTGTAGCATTTGGCTTCTAGGACTCAATTAGCTCAAGTATATTTAAAAATAGTATAAACAGCACATATTGGCTGACTTCTATTTTTCTAGTAATATCGGTCACTAATCGTTCTTTCTGGGAAATTGACTTAGCAAGTATTTAAAGCCATGTTTTTACGGGCAATATTAAATGTAGTTTTCTGTGTAGGTTGTGGTGAAATTCATCTGGAAGGAAAGAGTATTTGAGGACTGCTGGGTAGATGATCCTGATCTGGGAAGAGTGACTCAAGAGATTGCAATCCTGTCAAAGGTGCAGCACCCCAATATCATTAAGGTACCGTAATTTGCAGCAAACACAGTTTGAAATGTGTCCGATGAAAGAAAAAAAGCCCATGCAATATTTTAAGATAACAACAGGATACATACCCTAACGGTGAATGTACACTGTCATGGCCAAACATTTAGCAGTTCAGTAAATAATTTGGATATGTATCTTGATTTCTGTTCTCTGCCTTTTTTTTTCCTGAAAAATTCATCTTGATCTTAATTTTCCAGTTTTAATTCCATGCTTTCTTCAAGAAATGTCTGTGCTCAGTGAGATGAGACTTGAGAGATTATGATATACTCTGACTAAGCCTCCCAAGAGGGATGCAATGTTTGCAAAAATAATTTGAGGTTGGAGTGCACGGTAAAAAGAGTCTGTTATTTATAGGTTCTGGATGTGTTTGAAAATGAACGGTTCTTCCAGCTGGTGATGGAGAAGCATGGATCTGGTCTGGATCTCTTTGCCTTCATTGATAATCAGCCTGACTTGGATGAGCCCTTAGCAAGCTATCTGTTCAGACAGGTGAGAGCTGGCAAGGTACATTTGCTGCATACGGGAAAAAATAAATTAATATAAGAACTGTGACCATTTTTTCACTAAAAAGAATTGCTGGCTGATCAGCAGGCACTGGTTACTCCCAGAGTTGTGCATGATAACTGCAGAACTTTACTGAAACCTTAAACCTGTCAAAGGTTTACTTAGAAACCTGTAACATGGAAGCCTTTACTTCAGGTGAGGATTTGATAGACAGCTCTTTCTTCTCGCCCTGCCTGTGGCACCTCTAGACACCCACTTGCGTGGCAGCTGCATCTATTTTGCTGTGGGAGAAGAGGGAGCTTGGTATTATAAATAGAAACTTTCCTCCCTGCTTTTCTTGCTCAAATGTATTGTGGTTGGGTTCAAGATTGTTTCCAAGGTGACATAATTGCGACGAGCTTCTTAATTATGGTGTTAGAGCGCGAGTCGTGAGCAAAGAGGAAGGGGCTTCCGGGGGAATGTGCTGTTTCTATGAAACTTCCCTCTCCGGTGCTTTGTCATCCTGCAGTATTGGAGATCAACAGTAATAGCCTGCTGGGAAAATCAAAGGCCCCTCCAAAGAAAACACAGGCTGGGATAAAAATAAAATGACCTGCAGGATTGTAGCAGCAGCCACGGATGCTTCTTACCAAAACCATAAATACTTGGTGACTACAAGCGCATTGGAGTTAACACCTCTCACAGCAGTACTGACAGCCATTCCCAAGTTCCTGTGCAGTTAGCAACAGCAGGAGCTAGATCTGGTTTATACAGTTTTAACCCAAAATAGGATGGTTGGAATAGTGTCACCACGTAGATTGTCCGGCAGGAGGTCTCTATGCGCTAAAACCTCCTTCTTTCCTCCCATTCCAGCTTGTGTCAGCTGTGGGCTACCTCCACTGCAGAAACATCCTTCACAGGGATATCAAGGATGAAAATATTGTCATTGCTGAAGACTTCACCATTAAGCTCGTGGATTTTGGTTCAGCTGCCTACCTGGAACCAGGCAAACTGTTCTATACCTTCTGTGGGACCATTGAATACTGCTCACCAGAAGTGCTCTCTGGCAAACCGTACGTCACCCTCGGAAAAGTCACCCTCGTGTCCCTTGTCACCCAAAATGTATGTGTGCAGCGCAGGAAGGCTTTGATATTGGTGGTCTGAAGTATCTAACCACACCACAGAAAGCTGTGGTGAGATTTAGGGCACTGCAGTGACAGAAATTACTTGTAAAGGCTCAGATACAAATGGTCTTTTCTGACTGTGCAGAGTACAGGAGTGCAAGAGCAAGCTCACACTCCCCTAAAAATCCAGGATTCTTTTGTTGCAGCTTCTTTTGCTGCTGTCTTGGATGTGCTGCCCAAATCCCCTATTTAGGAGACTGGCTTTACCATCCCAGGATGGTAAATACTAACTATATGTGCAACTATTTTATCTTTTCTGCCTTGTGGGAGCCTTGTTAGAAATCTCATAACCTTCCTGTGTTAAAAATTAGAAGCATAACAAGAATGTTTTCTTTTTGCAATTCTTTAGCACTCCAGTGTACATTTGCAGCCCGTATTAATGCAAGCCTGCACATCTCTGCATAGGTACCAAGGGCCCGAGCTGGAGATGTGGTCACTGGGTGTCACCCTTTATACTCTCATATTTGGAGAGAATCCTTTCTGTGAGCTGGAGGAGGCCATGGCCGCGGTCCTGAACCCTCCTAGGGTCGTGTCGGAAGGTGAGTCCTTCACTTTTGCTTTGCTAAAGGGGCAGATCTCTCAGGAAAGCTTGAGCAGAAAGGGTAAAACTGGGTGAATGGTTCCAAATGTGCTCTGCAATGATTTAAAAAGCTGTTCTCTGTGGGAAAGATGTCTTTTTCCACAATAAATTTGCAGTTCTTTATGCATGCAATTAATAAAGCCATCTATTATATGTTTCAGTGTTGCAAATTCCAGACCTTTAGTTTATTATATTATTATGAACTTAGCTACAACTGAATGAACTTCAGGGAGGTTTATACCTGAGTAAACCAGAGCAAATAAAGTCTGGTAGATAACTTTAAAATCTATAATGGCACTTGCATAGTTCTAATCCCATGTCATTTCACTTGAACTAGTTGCCAGCAAACAATATGTTATTCTTGCGTGTGATGAGAGTTTGTTAATGTTCATAACTTCCAAATGAACTGTATGCTTTGATCTCACAGAAAAAAAAATATTTGGGGGGTTTCTGTGGTGCTACAATTAACTGGCAAATTCTTGAAGCTTTCCATGAGTGTTAAGTGCCCCTTTAATCACTGATAAAACATGGCAGGACTGTAAGAGAAGACTGGGCTTGGGGCCAGTGAGTTAGGGCTGCCTCCCTGGCGTTTCTTTCCATGTCAGTCTCCCCCAGGGTCCTCACTTTGCTCTCAATTTGCTCTTTTTATAACCCAGAGAGGGATTAATTGGGAAAATTTGTGATTAAAACCCACACTGCTTGAATCTAAATATTACCTCACGTTCCCAGCATGCCTAATACGCAGCTGATCCCTTCCTCTTGCTGCTGCCCCTGCTCAGGTCTCGTGAGGCTGATGGCGGGGCTGCTGCACCCCGTGCCGCAGCAGCGCACAACTCTAGCCAAGTTAGTGGAGGACCCGTGGCTGAAGCAGCCGGTGAACGTGGGCGATTACACCTGGGAAGAGGTGTACGTCCCCGCCGAGGCAGGTGAGCAGTTTCTGCTTCCACGCAGTCCCTACCAGGCACAGAAGAAGGATTTATATGAGAAGTGGGCAGCGAGAAAGCTTCTCATTCACCCCGCGCTACCCGGAGATCTGGGAGGAGAGGGTCCTGTTGGCTAGTGGGACATGTAGTTCAACCCTCATGGCGCTTCTGCTGCTTCCCTTCCTCCCTAGAGCGTGGCGGCTTCAGAGATGGTTCCAGCGAGGGCACAACCAGAGACAGCCTCCTCCTTGCAGCTCCCAGCGTGGAGGGCGAGCCCGGCTCGAGCTCTGCTGACCGCAGGTGGACGGATCCCCACGTGGAAGGACTCGCAGCTGCCGAGGACCAGGACTCGGCTCACGGGCATCGCCGCAAGCTTTCCCTGCAGTAGAAGCCCCTTGCCAGGAAACACGTTGTGTCACTTGAGACCTAGCAGAAAACAATCTTAAGCACTTCTCTTTTGTAGAAAGATGGGAGTTTTTGAGAAATGATGAGTGCAGTAACTGTCAGGGCCTGACAGAGCCTTGGAATGGGAACCATTTTCTGTAGTCTCATGGACAACCTCTGAACTCAGGCTGACTTTTTTTCTAGACTGTGGTAGGCAGAAGCTGTTGCAAGTGCCAACAACTGCAAGGCAAGTGCAGGATTTTAGGGCCTTGTTTTTAACAGTTCAGAAGCCAGAGTATATTTTTAATGGCTCTTTTTACTTTTCTACGTCCTGTTTTCCTCTTTCTGCAAAATAAAACATCTTAGTCTGGCTTGTTGCCTGCCCTGTGGGTGGTGTTTGGATGCTGTCGGCGCCAAATGTTTACTGTTACCTCAAAAAACAGATAGATAGATACATGTGCTAAATGCATTTATTCCTCTCGACCCTCAAAAGAATTGCAAGAAAATATTATTTGATTTTAATGAGATGAAGATATTGGAAAGCAAACTTCGATTCAAGAAAGAGAACTAAATCTGACCCATTAAAAATACTGACATATAGGTAATAAAATCACCTCTCCTGACTGCTTTTTGGAGCAAGATACAGAATGTCCAGGGAGAAACAAAAGGACGTTGTTGGATAAAAACCACCACCTCCTTAATGCCACCTAAAATACTAGCACTATTAAAAAAGCATCTCCAGGAGCTAAACCGTGGCTGGGTGCGAGGCGCGAGGTGCGGATCAAGGGCGCCCCATGACGTTTCACTGCTGGCGACACCGGGGGTAGGGGCTGAGGGGCAGCTGCCCCCCCAGCCCCTCCGGCAGCGTGAGTGGGGCGGTGAGTCCTTTCCCCCCATGTATATATGTGTATATATATATGTGTGTGTGTGTGTGTATAGATGTGTGTACATGTGTGTGTATATATGTGTGTGTGGATATATGTGTGTGTGTGGGGGGGTACACGTGTGTATAGGGGCATGTGTATGCGTGTATATGTGTGCTTGTGTAAATACATATGTGTTTATATGTGTGTATGTGTGCAGTTGTATGTGTGTGTATAGATGTATGTGTATGTACAGATGTGAGGGTATGTGTGTATGCATATATGCATGTACATGTGTAGATGTGTGTGTATATGTGTACATATGCATGCGTCTACACGTGTGTATACAAGTGTGTATATGTGTGTGTGTGCAATCATATGTATATGTGTGTACAGATGTGTGTGCATGCATGTGTGTGTACATGTGTGTGCGTATCTGTACGTGTGTGTGTGTGTATGTGTGTGGATACGCGTGTGTGTATAGATGCGTGCGTGTGTAGGCACGGGCATGGGGCGGCTGTGTGTGTGTGTGTGTGTGTGTGTGTAGCTCTCGTACAGCTGCGCGCGCACACGCGCGCCCGGGCACGGGGCGGGTCTGTGCCCACCCGGGGGCGTGTGCGCGGCCGGCACCGCCCACG